GAGATCACTGACTCCCTCACACAATGGTTGAAAACAGACCGAAGACCTACTCTCAGACATATAAAATTTCAGAATGCCAAGCATAAATATTTCTAGACATTTTTAAAAACGACATGCAAAAGACCAGAAATCGGAATGGTACCAGACCTCTCAACAGCAACCCTGGAACCTACAACGTGTTGGAACAATTCTTTTCAGAATTTTGAGAGAAATGATTTCCAGTATGTACATCCCGTTTTCAACTGCAAACTATCTCAAAAATGTTATGTCCCAAGAAATCTTTCCCAGGCGTCGGCTGGAGGATGTGCTTAGTAAAACAAGGAAGTAGACCCAGAAAGTTGAAGAGGTGTGGACCAGAAACAGGAGATCCAACCTATAAGGAGGAGAAGGGGATCCCCAGGATGATGGGGAAGGGAGGTTTCTAGAAGGTCATTGGGCAACAGGGCAGAGAGGAGGGTGAAGGACTGCAGGAAGGAGCCCTCCAAAAGGGGGAAAAGAAAGAAATGATTTCATTTTCTAAAAAGAAATGTTCATTTCCTGATTTTTAAACATTTTATTTCTGTTGGAGTGTTCGATACAGAATTAGTAATAGGTACGTAGAAACCGAGGCAAGGGGAAAAGATGCTATAGGAAAATGCAGACAGCGCTGGAACTATTATAACTCGGCTGTGCATATGGACACAGTCCTTGTAAAAACTGAGTGTAAATTGAACTGAAAAGACGTATTAACTTGTTTTAGAGGATGGTGGGAGGGTTAGTGCGTGCATGTCGGCAGCGTGTGAAGTAAAAATACATCTGATCCTGAACAGGCAACATAGTATGAACATAGCATCTAAAAATACAGAGTAGACAAAGAAAAAGCTAACACTTGACAGTAACTGTTTCTGGAGACCTGGAATTGCAGGTAGAGAGGGCGTATCTCCGTGTGTCTCAGGTGAACCCGAGGTAATATTTGACTTCTGAAGCTATGTACACGTATTACTGTGATTAAAAATTAAAGAAAACATATATCCACACAGAAACGTGTCCACAGATATTAATGGCAACATTATTTATAGTCCAAAGAGGAGAAACAAATGTCTATTGACTAATGAATGAATAAATAAAATGTGGTATATGTTGTACATGTGAGAGAATAGTATTCTTCTGTAGGAAAAGATCAAGCATCGTACACAACTAGCTACTTTTACTTACACAGAATATTTTCAAGGCTCATCCATGTTGTAGCATGTGTTCAGAACAGGCTTATCTACGGGGAGACCAAATCGATTAGTAGCTGGGGGTTCGGGAGGTGGGGATAACTGAGGAATAACTACAAATGGGTACAAGCTTTCTTCTGGGGAAGATGAAAATATTCTATAATCATAGAGTGTTATACTTGCTCAACTCTATCGATATACCAAAATGCGCTGGGTTTTGAACAATGAATTTTATAGTATGAGAATCACACCATTATTTTAAAATTAAAGGGAGCCCTGGCTGGTGTGACTCCGTGGATTGAGCGCCAGCCTGCGCACCAAAGGGTCACAGGTTCAATTCCTAGTCAGGACACACGCCCGGGTTGCAGGCCAGGTCCCCAGTGGGAGGCGTGCGAAAGGCAACCACATGTTGATGTTTCGCTCCCTCTCTTTCTCCCTCCCTTCCCCTCTCTCTAAAAATAAATAAATAAATCTTTAAAATTAAAGGGGGGAAAACCCCAATTCATAGTGACGTCGTGAGGAATAAATGAAATACTGCGTGCGAAGGGGCTAGTCCTAAGCCTGGCATAAATACTAAACACAAATGAACACGTGTGTACCATTTACTGTGTGCCAGGCACCCTTTGGGCTTTCCGACACGTCTCCATTCACTGACCTCTCACGGCAGCTGAGTGAAATAGAGGCTATACTTAGCTCCCCTTTCTAGGTGAGGAAACTGAGGCTGGGGGAGTCACACGCTTTGCCCAAGCCCATGCAACCAGGGAGCAGTTGAGCCGGGCTGTAGCCCCACAACTGGCTTGGCACCTTTCCTCCTAACCCTCCACGGTGCTGCCCCCCTGGCACGCCTCCCCGCCCCCACGTCTGCGTCAGCGCGGGGTGTCGGTCCCCACAGGCCCTGCACGCCCGCCGTGGCCCTGCGGACCCCTTGCCTGCGGACTTGTCTGGGTCCTCGGCCGCAGTGGACGCTCCACAAAGGTAGGGACTGTGCTCCTCTCAGTGACTGTCATTCCACGCACCTCAGACGGGGAGGGGCAAGCAGCAGAATGAAGTAGCAGTATTTTTCCTCTGTGTAAACCTCATGAGTCAATGAAGGAGAAGTGGCGGAGCGTAAGCGATGAGAGATTCTAGAAAACTATGAGATCGCTGATGGAGCGAGGCACCTAAGGGAGCAGAAGATGGAAGGGTAAGATTGTGATGGGAAACCGTCGGCCTGGAGGAGATGGGAGACCAGCTCCTTCAAGACCGAAGGAGAGGAGGAAATGACACATCCTGTGAGAGCAGAGGCGGCTAGGTGAGGAAGCTCACACCAGATGACTTGAACATCCCGATAAATAAGGGGCAGGAATCTTGGGCCAGGGAAGGATGCAGGAGAGGGTGGAGGAGAGGAAGGCAAGAACTCGGGGGTCTCCGCAATACGATCATGAATAATAGGAGGGACCCAGAAAGAAAGCACAGACACACAGAATTGTATATACATTTTAGGGACCCATGGGCCCTGGGTTGAGCATGCCTCTCTCAGTACTCAACGGAGTCGAATGCAAGTACTTCTGAGATGTGAGTTGAAGGCAAGCACCTCGAATGTACGGCATTGCAAGTCTGCATTTCTGGGAGGGCAGTAGCTGACGCGGTGGCAGGGCCTGGGCTCGGGGGTTCAGAGCAGTGGCAGGGAGAAGCCGGCGGCGGGGGGACAGCGAGTGGGGAGGGAGAGCAAAGTATCAGCCAGTGAAGGAGCGGCAGAGGCGGCGGGGGCGGGGGGGGGGCGCATACAGAGGGTGGGGCGTAGGAGGTGGGAGCAGGGCCCTGTGGGGGCAGGTCATCCTGCGTATGTCGTCTGCAGAGAAGATAAAAATAATACGAAAACCCAAAGTTTATCAGCATGATGCCCAAGGGACTCTAAACATTGATAGGAGTGAACTGCTCCTCTTTGAAAAAGCCTGGGCCCGCCACCTAAAGAAGTTGCCCGCTTCTGGGTAGGTTTCTGTCACCGAGGGACGGGGGGAGGAGACAAAGTCGGAGGGAGTGGTCCAGGATGTGGGTGAGGTGGCTGCGAGGTGCGGAGCCAAAGCTGAGCAGCGCTGTGGCAGAAAAAGGCTCCTTCGGCCCGGGGTGTAGGCGGCACGGCTCGGTGGCTTTCATCCACAATCTCGATGTCATCTGAAATCCTATACTCCTCACGACAGTGTTTCGCCGCCTTCAGAAGTCAGCTTCCCCAGACCTGCACTTTGTTCCACCGCTCATTCATCTGCCAGGTCCTGGGCTCCTTGAGGGCAGGGACTGGGTCCTGTTCATTTCTGAATCGCCGGGACCTGCAGACAGGTGCCCGGCACCGGCAGACCCAGTGGCGAGGACACCTCGCCCTTCAGGACAGGTGTCTCAGGACTCGGCCCGACGGCACAGGCTGCCGGACGCTGCTGCTTTCCTGCCGCCGCGGCGTGAGGGGTTACCGCCAGGGCCTCCTCCCTCCTGAAGTCCCAGGCGTGCAGAACCGGATATTTTTTTAGGGAGATCCACAGTCACTTCACAATTTTTTTTTTAATCGAAAAAACCATCGAGACATTGTCCGTGGAGCCCTGAGTGATGACCGCCTCCACCTGCGCGGACGCCACCAGCATCTGGCCATGTCGTGATGACCTCGGTCCTGTCATAGGGTGGGTGGACATTTCTCTGGTGTCCCAGGAGAATTTAGGTGCTTCTGGAAACCCCTCAGCAACCTACTACTGGGGAGGAATATGCAGTGGAGGAAACAGGGTTCGAGCAGCAGCTTCTCTGGAGAGGCACACAAGGGCTGACCGTTCTCTGTGAGGTGAACCACTTCAAAAAGGCACCGAGTCTCCTCCGTCTCTCCCTGGGCTTCTGCCCGTCCCCAGGGTGGCCCCTGCGGGGTTCTGACTAAGGAGCTGCCACCACTGCCTAACAGCCCATCTAAGCGCGCCAGCTTGGTTTACATTTGAGGTCAGAAGCAGGACCTTTCTAGAGGAAAACTTCCAGAAGCAAGAGAAGTGGGAAGGCAGTGCCCCAACCAGTGTGCCCACTGGCTGAGGTCCCAGCCTCCTAGGCAGGACAGAAGCCCCTGGAACAATCAAGCACCTTCCTGCGGCACCGCTGTGCATGCTGCTTCCTCAGGGCAGCCCAGGCTGGCTGCCGGGGCCACGTGGTCCCCAGGCCCCACGGGGGCCGTGCCAAGCGAGCGCCACTCCCCCTTCACGACCCCTGCGGGGCTCTGAGCCCTGGGGCGCTTAACATTTGAGGACGGACATCGGACCTCAAGACAGGCACCCGGGGTCTGGGCACAGAATAGCGTTTTTTTATTCCATGGCTAATTTTATTCCACGTGCCTTCAAAAAATAAGCGTGGTCCGCGTGAAGGAAGGCAGCTGCCCGCTTCAGCTCAGCGGGTGCCTCAGCGGTCCACGGCTGCTCCTTATAGGAAACGTCTGAATAATTGAACTCGTTAATTGGGTTAAAGAGATCCTCGGCCTATGGCTGTTCTATAAATAAAAGAATGAGTAAATAATATAGTGACCTTGACGTTCCAGCCCTCCTCCTTAAAGAGGTCATTTTGTTTTGTTTGCACCCATAAGATCATTGTTCGGGGGTTCGCAGGCGTCTGGCTCAGGCTGGGGCGGGCTTGGCCCGGGGCGCCCCGTTTGGTCTGTGGCAGGTGTCCTCCTACTTTCCCCTTGGCTCTTTCACTACAAGTGAATAATTTGTTTATCTTCGCTGTCAGTCGCCAGAAACCTGGGCTTTGCATGTGCAGCTGGGGGCAGAGAAAGAAGGCCAGGTAGCTGGCTGGCCTCCGCTCCTTATCTGAAATCAGGCAGGTTTAAGCAGCCTAACAGAACGGCCAGAGGAGAGAGAAGAAAAAAAAATGAAGGAAGAGAAAAATGCTTATGAAGAGGAAGTGGTAAGAGGCTTCTAAGTGTGACCTGTGCTGTCAGGTGATTTTTGTGGGGGAGGGGACAAGGAAAAAAATTTAAGTAAAAATGTCCTTATAAAGACAAAACCTATTTTCTTTTCTTGGCTGACGATTTGTCATTTTAGTCACTTCCTGCCTTGTGACCACACACTTGGGTTGACAAAGTTCTGCAAATCAGAAAGGCGTTTCTGGTCACCGGCCAGTACCGCTGACGACGGTTTTAATACAAGGTAACTTTTCTGAGTCTTTTTGTCATTTCTAAGTGCTCGGGATGCTTTGCCTGGTGGGGGGCTCTGTGCCTGCGGGTGTCATGTCTTCAGGGGACAGAGCTCTGGGCACCTGGCACCTGAGCCCTTGGGGAGCCCTGCCGTCATTGAACTGCTCTGCAAGGCTGTGGCAGTCCTCAGTGGGACCCCTCAGCTCTCGGGACGGTGTCTCCGCTTACCCGCTGTTAGCACCCCTCAAAATTACGATTTTTTTTCCCTTTTAAACCAAACCATGTTGTGATTTATCTCTATGGCTTTATTTCAAGGAGGCTATTGACTGTGATTTTTGTCTACTTCAAACCATTTTCAGGGAAGTGCATATTGATCATTCAGGTTGTGCCTAATGGGGGTGGTTTAATTTTAGCTCCTGTGGTTCTATATTTCTAAAAAATCTTTACAATTGTTTAGTGGATATATTAACATCTTGAGTCACATGTTGGTGCGTTACGGGTTATTTGTGGGGTTTTGGTGCCCACAGTTTTTAACGGGTGTGTTTCATAACCACATGGAATTAGAGGGCACCTCTTCGCATTTATTCTCTAAAAAGGAAGGCAGTTGTGCCCCTTAACTGTGCTTGTTCATAGACCTGTCTCAACTGTTTGTTATGCTTATGACCGTACCAAGGGCCGTGAAATTTTGGATGAAAGTTTTCTGTCTACAACGGAAATTCTTGTGAAGCTGCTGGGGCATATTTATTCCAGGGACTCTGTTGAGACACAGACTTTGGCTCTTGTGGCGTCGGCCTTTCCTGCGTTATCATTATGACAGGGGACACCCAGAAAAGCCATTCAGACTGGAAGTGGATTCCAGTATCAGCATCCTTAGCAAGACCTAATCTTTTTAAATCAAGTGTAGCAACTTGTTTCCTAAAATTGTTCCCTCAGGACACCTTTTTTTAAAAAGCATTAAACAAAGGCGTTCTAGCCACACGCCTTTTGATGTTCCCTTTATGTACGTTTTTCCTAATTGGTTTCGATTCTAATAAAAGTGGGTAGAATACTGGCGCAGACAGCTTCGAACGAAAGCATCCGCTTGCAGATACATGGGAATCTCTGGACACTGGGAAGGGGGCTCTCAGCCTGGTCTCACACATCTCGCTTGGAAAAAATGTGGGAATGGGAGAGGCAGCCTGGAAGCCTCGGGGAGAACAAATTTAAAAATACGCTGCGTGTTGTTTTAAGTAAAAACATTAATGAGAATAAAATCGATGAGGGCGAAAAAGGACGTCAGCATTTTCCTTACGTTGGGAGGGACTAAGAGGGAATACGAAGACGTTAATTCCAAGGAGCAAAAAGTCTCTTGATTTAAATGAAATGGGGCTTGCGAAAGCAGCACGCCGATGTGTTTAAGATACCGATTCCCCTTCGGTCCAGCTCCCTGCCCGTAGCGCCAGGGAGGAACCTTCTGGTCTTGCCTGTGGACAAGCGTGGCGGCGGTGGCGGGTTGGAGCAGCGCCTGTGGGGATGTCTCATTCGCAGCCTCAGGGATGCTTTTCTTTGCTTCGTCACATTTAAAATTTTGTCCCTTTTGTAAATTATGCCTTGAAACAGGTAGTCATGTGGAAAACAATTTCTGTGTTTTAACATCGTTTGTAATTCTCTTTCTACACCCCGTGGGGATGGGGAGGCTAACAAGTAAAGGCTGTGCAAATGGAACTAAGTTAGAGGGAACAGGACAAGTAATAACAACACTGAAGATTTATAATTACTCTGTGCAGCTGCTCTTCATGCATGATGCCATGTAGCCCTCTTTATTGACGTGGGAAGGGGCTTCGATCTTTGCAGGAACTGGCCCACGGTTACAGGGCAGTTGGGGGGGCAGCAGGTAGCCAGGATTTCGGGGTCCATGCTGCCTCTACGCCTGTGCATCTAGTCCAGGTCTTCTCTGCCACACCGGTACACTGTCTTCCAGGATGTCGGTAAATAAAGGCTTTAATTTCTGAATCTAACTGAAGAGATCTGAGCGCCCCGAGCTTTAAGAGGGAGGGAAGGGAACTGGAGATGAGAGAAGGCGGAGAGATTGAGAGAGAGGGGATGAGAGAGGGCAGAGAAGGGGCAGAGAAAGGAAAAAGGGAAGAAAAACATTGCAAGAAGCCAGAAATATTTTTATTTGTATAATAAAAGATACCATTGCAGGTTTCATGTAATGGTAGCATGAAGGATTTTCTTTTAATTAATGTACAATTTTACTGAAGAATTATATGCCTTCATGAACTTGCTCAACCACTTCCCCTGTGTATTTCTTGTCATTTCCTTCTGCCTGGCTGACTCTGAGGTCCCTTAGGCACGTCTTGGGTACACAGGCGCACAAGGGCCAGGAAGTCCTTTGCTCTTTCACTTTTTTTTTTTTTTTTTTAGCTGCAACGGTTTCTCCAATTGCTTTCTTCTTTATTTGTAAGATCCCTGGTTATTTTTCCAGGTCCTGCCCAGAAGCATGCCCTCAGGGAGGTTTTTTCCCTACTGGACTCCACTCCTACTTTTCTTGCACAAAGTGTCTTCTAGGCTTTTTTGCTTAATGCGTTGATGTGGCAGGGAGGGCAGCGGTAACAATATTGTTTTATTCTCAAGTCCTTATTTGCTGACAGCGTGAGCTCCTTCTCTTGTCCCTCCTAACACACATAGGTGTTAATGATATTTATCAAATTGCAAATTTGTCAGAAGTATTTTCCTCTCAGTGCCTTAGATATTCATGGGCTCTTCTTCTTTGGTGTCACTTAATGACTTAATATTCACTGAGCTCCCCCAGTGACTGCTATAAAAAGAGATACAACAATTATATAATATTTTGCATTCTCCCATCCCTCCTTCTTGCCAAAGCGTTCTTCTTTACTTTAGCCTCAGAGCGCTAAATGGACGCCGGCTTCAAGGAATTTAAGAAATCATCCACTGACCATTGCAGACAGGCAAAATCATAATCGCGTTATTTTAGTCTATGTACATTCATCGAGCTAACACTTAGCTCCCCGTATCAGAACTGTGTCCTTGATCACAGGCTACTTTGGTGACATAGAACGAAGCGCCACGTAGCATTAACTTTTACTCACTTTGGATTCTCAGAACATGCTCAAGTCAACTTCCTGTTACCTGAAGAGGAGAGGCCCTTCTGTATGTCTATAGGAGAGATAGCAAACAGGTTTTAAAATGAGGTTAGGTAAAATGAATTAAGAAACTTTCCCATAAGATGATAGTTACGAAGTTAAAAAAATGTATCAAGTAAGATTATAAAAGCGTTGGATTTACGGCTAACAGCAGATTTTACAGAAGAGTAACATGATGTAGATTACTGTTTCGTAGATTATTTTTAGATTTGTTGGTTTGTTTGGTAGTTGTCTTCCTAGGTTTTGGTTTTTTGTTTTTGTCGGTCGTTGCTCTACTCCCAGACATCATCCGATGAAACGACGCTATTCCATCTGCACAGGGGACCCTGCAGAAATGAAAGCAGGGAATTAGAGTTCACCAAAACATAACGCTAACCCGTGCCAGCAGATTTCAAGAGTTTTGAGCTCCCCGGTGTCGCCAGGTCGCAGCGCACTTCTTCGACCAGAAGCCGTGCTGTTTCACGTGGTTTTCCTTTCCAAGTTCTGAGAAGCTGCCACCCGACTAGGTGTCCGTCTTCCAGGGGTGTCTCCTCACAGCAGCGGTCACCCTGGGCTCCCCAGGTGGCATTGCCCGCTTGCTTTCCTCTTTCCCTCTGGATTCAGCTTCCTTACGCTATTGACCGTCCTTGTTGTTTTCGATTTGACACTCTCGGTCATTACACAGTGTCCCCAGTGATTTCATAGACACTCCGTCTTGTGAGACACTGGAAGCCACAGGGCACGGAGGGGAGACTTTCACTCTGTCAGCTTAATACTAACATCTAATATTGGGCTGGCCCAAGAGTCCGTATGGTTTTTTCCATAAAGTAAAAGACACATTTTTCATTTTCACCAATAGCTTTATTGATTTGGATATTTTGAGTCTGTCAGCTGTCTCCTGCTATTGGCTTCTAGTGGGTAGAGGCCAGGGGTGCTGCTCAACATCTTCAATGCATAAGAGAGCCCACAGCAAAGAAGTATCTGGCCAAAGTGTCAATAGTGCCGAGAAACTTCAAGAACCACTTCTGACACATTCGATCAGTCACAGCACCTTCTCCATACACTGCACAAATCTTTTTTTGCATTTTGGTTGCATTTTTACCTTTCTTGAAGTGATAAAGCATAATATGCAAAAAATGTGTATTTTCTTCCATCTTCAATATGAAAATGGCTGCACAAAAATTCACCAATTTTGATAAGTATTTTTTAAAATGCATGCTGATATGACAGTTGTCACAATACAATCTAATGAAATTATTTTGAATGAAGTTCCAGACAACTAAGCACTGCTAGAGCCATTGAATGGAAAAAAAACTAAATGAACTTTTTGGTCAACCCAATACATATGTACTACTCACTTTGAATTGAGTATTTTGTAAGCATTTTAACCCTATTAATGCATTTTGTCACCACAACAATCCTGTGAGGTGGTGACTAGTGTTATTTTCAGATCTGAAGGCTAGGGAATTCATTCAAATATTTCATTACTTTGGTTTGGTTCAATCGAATCAGCTTTGCACTAACTGCTGAATTCCAGGGGAAGCCTCTGGAGTGAACAGGCAGCGGGCTGTGGGGCTTCTTTATGCCTAAGCCCTTGAGTTGAACTTAAATAACCATTATTTATCCCACATAAATGCATCTGTATTATAATTGTTTTTATTAAACAGTCTGTTCTTTATCATCACCATCATCATCATCATCAGTATTTATTCAGCCCACTTGGCCATTGTCTGAACACATGTCTGAACAGAACACATGTCTGTTCACTTGGCCATTTGGTTTTCACCAATTTATAAGCCTCTGTGTGGGTCACAAAATATATAATCTCTAACCTCAAAAGCTTTTAAAAGTCACCACCAGGCTAGAAGGCTGGAACACTTTTAGTCTA